CAGCAATTGCTATATTTTAAATTCTTTTCTCCTCTTGACTATTCATTCATTTCTGTTCAAGCCTTTTCAACACCATTCAAGCATATTATTGGCTTCGCAAGCAAGCAGCTGAAATGGAAAACAAAAAGAAATGGCCTAACGCTTCTACATTATGAAAAAAGGAATATTTAAATGAAAGATGGCCATTAAGTTAAAAAGCAATCTAGATTACATACTATTTATAAACAAAAGACAATTTAAATGAATGAAAACTTTACATGTGTATGTAGAGCAAAAGAGATTGTAATGATTTTGAAAATAGTCTTCGTAATTGTGTAATTGCACTAAAAAAATTAAAATTCGTCAGCAAAGAGGACAGCAAAGAGGGAAATTAAAATTATGTTTGTAAAGCATAAATGTAAAAAATCGTATCGTTTAACCCAAATCGTTTATCTACCTCGGCACAACCCTCTCACAATTGCCAACATATAATAACTACTGGCAATCAAATCTGCGAGATATGATATGATGGGCAACAAATCGAACTTCTGTTTATCCTATTTTACTATTTTACTAGATGTATTTATGGAATTGGGATTCGAGGTTTCTATTCCACTATGAACAAACCCGGTACCTAATGGATTTTCAGCTTTCTCTTCTGCCCAAAATCCGATAACAAACGCATTCTTTACTAACTCACTAACCTTAATTCAGTCACCTAAGCTTTTTTTAATATCTTTCAAGTTCTTAAGTCCCCCATTTCAATTCAGTCTTCCAAAATTGGACAATGATCGGTAAAGGTATAGAGTCCCTCGAGAAGGCATTAACGTAAAGCTTAGGCTGTTTTATTCAGCATTTAAATTTATCGGAGCGAACGTTTATCGCCAAGCATCTTAACCAAGACGTTTTTCAAACACCCTATTGGCGAGACTTCAGTTAGTATGATGGACAAGTGCAATATTCTTGAATATTAGCAACCACTTCTAAACGTGATAGCCTCAAATCTTTAGTGAATCATTGTAATCCAGAATTTCGACGAAAATCAACGAAAGGAGCAAGAGTGTTTTATGTTTGCTACTCAGAAAAAAAAAAATAAAAAATATTTTGAGCGGCGAAGAAAAACTTCTTCTTTCAAACGCAATAACATTCGGCCACACGGCCAATAATGATGATGATGACCTCTTAGAAAAATAAGAAAAATATGAATGAGACATGATACCCAGCGTGGGTACAAAAATACTTCTTTCAAAATTCAAACAAAAATTACGAGAATTTTCTAAATGTCCATTAGCGACTCCAACATTAATGCGTAATATAAACAAAGTCTGACAACAGCAAACGCTCACGCCACTTTTATATGTCTTATTGCAGAGAAGGAAATTGTGACAGCATCTGAAAATAGAAGTGAAGAAGTCGAGAAACTATATTTGATAGCAAGAAGACCGCTTGTGGAGGAGAACATACTGTCGCCAGGGCTAAAAATATCTATCAGAGCACGACGCCTGGTATGAAGACAGTACAGATTTTATCTACAAACTTCATGTTTTATATTAATAAAATCGAATGCGTCTGTAAACTAAGGCAGCAAAATAAAATTTTGTAAGAAAATTTTTTGTTTGACGAAAATCGAAAAAAAAAATGTCATACAAATGGTGTTAAATACATAAAAAATTAATTTTCATTTCATAAGCCATGTTCAAGCAGAACCGATAACGAAGCGATGCCTATAATGAAAAGTATTTTAATATTTTTTTGTTATAAATCTAAATATGTGTGTATGTACATATATATTGATATATATTCCATAACAAAAAAAATACTAATATATATTTTTCCACTTGGCAGAATTGTTAATGCTGCATCTCTCTTGGCTTAAGGCCAAGATTTTTATTTATTTATTTTTTATTTTTTTTTTTGACGAATAAATCTTTGGTTAATGATCATTAACTACATTATCAGCCTATTCTAAACGGTACTCACAGAAACAAATTATTAACGTTTTTATTTATTTATTTTTTTTTTTATTTATTTATTTTTTTTTAATTTTTTGTTTTTATTTGTGTGTATATATTTTTGCTGTTTTTGGAAATCGTACACTTACCCGCACACATATGTGTTAGCATATATTTCAATGAACGTAGAAAGAAAGTTCATTGAAATAAGAAATGTGCCTGTACAATCAACCACCTACTTGGAAGCCATGAGTGCAATTAAATATTTCTTGGCGCAGTCTTGTACGTTGTTTCTATTTCTTTGAAGAGATTACCAAAAATAAACCACTACTTTAGCGGACATGACACAATGCTTATTGAATGCAAAAGCTATAATAATAGTCTACATCCACTGGCAGCTATTCTCCTGGAACCGTCTTCTACAATATTATAATTCTATTGTGAAGAAAATGTTTATCAAGCCGCTAAAAGTGTCTAACAAAAATTTATTTTACCGGACAGATAGACAATTCATGTTGTGATCTTGCGATCTATTTGTTTTTTCTCTTGTTGCGAAAATTATGTAATAAAAAGGCCAATAATTACTATCGCATGTGTATTGAAAGTTAAAGTCCTGCAAGAATTAAATGAAATACTTTTTGTAATCCTAAAGGAAAAAAAATGTAATTAAGTAATCAGTTATCTTACACTAATGGAACCGCTGAGTAATTGCAAAGGAGTACAAGTCTCATTTAATATGTGTGCAGCAAGGAAAGGTTGAATACAATGAAATTAATATATGCAAATTAATATATGAATAAAGGAGGTGATTAAGTCAAGGTTTATACTGGCTATTCTACTACCTGCTATAGGTTGGCAGACGATAAGATTGTAAACTGATATTGGATTACTCTATAGAAAGTCGATGTATTTGATAGAGCTGGGTATGATAGTGTAGGGTGCTCTATTTTAATTATCACGAAATTTATAATAAATTTGTGCATATCAAAAATACTTTCATATTAGTATTCCATTATATTACTTACATTCTTGGTCTGATTCTTCAGGGCTTTCAGGCGAACACTTAGTATGATTTACTTTTATTTCGAACTAGCCCTGACCCGAGTACAGAGCATATTTCCAACAAACAAATGGACAACAAATACCGCTACTCACGCTGATCTATACAACGCATTTGCTATGTATGTATATATTCGAAGTATATTTCTACGTGTTGCCAATATGTTGTTGGTAAATTCATTTAAAGAGTTTATCATACTTCCAAGTATACAAATATGAAGGAAATGCTATGCATTCAGAATTACTCGCAAAAGCAATACCTTTGAAAGGCGTTGTGCATACGATGTATCGGTATAAGCGTGGAAAAGGAGGTAAAAGAAATTGCAAAACATCCCAGTCAGATTCGGAGATTTGAATCAAGCACTTGAAGTATTCAAAAATGTTTGTGAACTACGCCACTCATACGCTATAACTAAATTTCTTCACCTATCTTCGCAAATGGCTGGATGTAAGCAAAGGCACTGCTATGTTCAACACGTCAAAGCAATAAAATTCAAAATTAGAAAGCAATTAATTAATTCGACAAAATGTGTCAATACTGAAAGGTTCTGTATGAATATGTAGTAGAGGGATGGATGCAAACTTTCAAACTAAACTACTGGAATTTTTAAATGTAAATATAAAAGGCAGTACAGGAAAAATATTCTCCCAGAAATCGAGATAGTAAACGATGCGTGGTTCAATCGAGCCACTGCTGAGTTGAAAGACTCACTTATATAACATATTTTTCCGGACATATGTTTCATTCATAGGATTATTCCAATCAATATAAGCTATTATAGGTGAATTCCAAGTTCAAGTTAAAGATAAATTCTAAGATTTTAATGATGATCATAAGCAATTAGGAGCAATTCAATTAGTAGCAGTATAGTAATATGCCGCAGTAAGTAAGAATAGTATTGAATAACCTAAAATTGCAAACTTTAGTATGTAGCAAAAAACACCGTATTGGAGGACATCCACAACTAATCTTGATCCACCTTTGTCAAGCTTAATTTACTTGACGGGCAAAATGTCTTAAAAATCGAGACCTGCAGATTGAACAAAGACATAGAAGGCCAGATATTTAGACGAACCGACGAGCTGACAAACAAATAAATCAGCAGAGCAGCTTCAAGAATTGGTTCTGAATCGATCGGTATACCAGGAAGTATGTCTGTCTTAAGTTCTTCCGAGTGCTATATGTAGATGCGGACAAAACAAAATATGAATAGTATGATGCCGAGAGAAAAAAATAATCAAATAGTTTTATATACTTTCCAATCTCTGTTTTCTTTTTCTGCGGCCTTGAAATTTTACCGAAGAATGTGCAGACAATCACAAAACAAGAACTTTTGAATTCTCGAGAATTTTAAGTAAAGACCAAATGATGGAATCAGTAAAATCGATTCAGAATTTTATCCTGATTTATCCTGATTAGATATGTAAGTTTTAGAACGCAACGGTGCACGAAAAATGATGCCAAACCATAAAAGAATTTAAAGATAAAAACTAACATATATTCAATATATCAGATTTAGTATATGGAAGAATTTTTTTATTTTTATTAAAAAAATATCTTAAGTAAAACCTTTCTTTTGTAATGTATCAAAAAAAAAAAAAAAAAAAAAAAAAAAACATACATACATACATACATACATATATACTTTACATAATACGTTAGTTGGAATAGATGAATTGCACTAACAGTTATATAAATGCGTGTAGATGTTTAATATCAAATAAATCAATTTTAATGTTATTCACGCAATATAACCATCTATTGATCCATTTCACTAATAAAGGTTTATATTAATCGAAAAACACTCGAAATGTACAAACAGTCATAACAACTCTTATCTCAGAGGCATTCAGAAAATAATTATTAAAACATTTGCAAAGCAAGAACAAAAAATAGAAAAAAACAAAAAAGAAAAAAAATGACCATCGGGTACCAGCAACCAAACTGAATAATCGATTTTAGGTGCATTATCAAATGATTGCATTCAAAATTCGAGTCCGTAAACTTACCGCATTATTTTTTTGCTGAAAGCTAAATCCATGGTGCAGCGGCGTAATGTTGACACAAACTGGATGCAATTTTCCAAAATAGGTGAACCAATCTTTGGCTTGCCGTTACACGCACACAAAAACCGACGGCGCACATTCACATCAGTTTTGTAATGAGTTTCTATAGTTGGCACAGTTAAATGCAATAGTAAGGCAGCATGTCTAGTAACCGATTTACGTATATATATATATATACATATATATACCTCTTTATAAGCAATATTTTGTGAAAATTTTAATTGCAACAAATGGGCAGCAGAGTATTAACACTTTTATCGAATGTTTGCTGAAACAAAATAATTGTAAATTCTACATAGACGCGCATGCACATTTATACACACACATATATATAGTTGTATAGACATTTACATGTGCATATATAAAACCGGTTACAATCGATGCAATTATTTCACATAATATATACACATTTTCAGTGATAATAACACGTACGCGAGCACATACAGACAAACGCTGTGTAAAATGATTAAATTGCGATGAAAAGAGATTTTAATACAATGATCAAAGCTATCCTGTGATTTTTTTGTTTATTTTTTTTATTTATTTATTTTTTTATTTTTTTTTATTCTTTTTTCTTTTTTTTGCTTAAGAGCAATTTATACGTGTTATGTGGTAAACAGGAGTTTTATTCGTTAAAAAGGAAAAAAAATTGTGTTATTTATTTAAAAAAAATAAAAATAAGGAAAAAAGCTTTTTTTAATTAAGGAAAATTTGCATTTATTTTCACATTTTAAATAAATTCATCTATAACAGTTTTCTACCAAACAATCACACAACAGCTCTACTTGAGCTTCTTTTTAATATTTCCTATTATTATTATTTATTTATTTATTTTTTTTTTTTTTCTTCTTCTTATTTATTTTCTTTCTTTTTTTTTCCAATTTGCTCTCACTTTTTGTTTACCCAGCAATTATTTATGTATTTTATAGCATTTAACGCTTAATTACAAACATACGTAAAATCTATACCACACATGTGCACATGGATGTGTGCGGTTAAGATCTAAACAGATGTTTATACTGCGTCCTACACTCTATATTTGCATGTTTGCCATTCTATATATGCGGGCGTATGGAAGATTATGTGCGTATGCGCTTGTAACAGACTGATTGTGTGTGTCTGCATATTTCCGTCACGACGCTTTCATAATTTATGCTTGCACTCATCTCTTTTTCTACCCAATATTTTAGCAAAGCCAAGCCCTACATCCCACCAATCCTACCAACACTTATCCACATGTACACAATCTAAGCTCAACAGAAACAAACAAAAAAAAAAAAAAAAAAATTGTAAAAATAATAAATACATAAACATATATATAAAAACATAAAAAACTAGTTACACGCACATGTAGATAATTTTTTTTTACACTTTTTTGTTTGTTTTTTTTTTCCGCTTTCATAAACCTAACAAATATGAAGACGCATTTAGAATACCAGAGATGCAAACAGTGCTTAAATTCGTTTACGTAGATTTTCACTTCAAGGTAAACTTTCTGTCAAAGGACGCGCGCAC